TTTGTTCCCAATTTTAAAAACTGAATTAAACGCTATCCAAAGAAGTCCACCTTTATTTGAATTCAATTGGATTTGATTTTAAAAAGAAAAAGAAAGGCAACATTTCTGCCAAGGAAAACCCAAGTTCTTTTAAAAATCTACCACTTAAAAATTTTAAAAACCTCTATTGTTTTTACATGATCTAGATAAAGAACTTTGGGCTCTTTGGTATTAATAGTGCAAAAGATTAAATCTAATCTAGAAAATACAGAACCCTCCTGTGCTCATGAGAGATATCCTCAGCACAAATACTTGAACTGATACAAACTCATCTTGTGTTCAACCTAGTCAGATCTTTAGGGACTGGTGAGTTTCTGTGTTGACCTAGCAACACATATTCAGCATCTAGGGCAAGAGAAAAGATAATGACATAGTCTATGAGCAAGTCAAGGAACGATTCACTGAGAATCAGTGGTTTAGTGGAAAAAGCACTAAATTTGGAGTCAATTCTGCTACTTACTACCTGTATTCCTTTGGGCAAGTCACTTCCCATCTCTGGGTCTCAGTTTCTTCCTATGTAAAGTGGCCTCTGAAGCACCTTCCAACTTTAGATCTATAATCCTATGACCTTAAAGGTCGATCAGTCAACAAATATTTATTAAGCACCAGGCACTGTGCTAAGCCCTGGGTTCACTGCCAGAATCCCTTTCATTAACATCCTTGACAGCTTCTGTCTGAACTCTTCTAGTCACGGAACTCACTGCTTTCGAAGGCAGACTATTCTATTTTTGAACTATAGTTCTTCCTTATATTAGGTCAAAATCTATCTCCCTATACTTTCAGAAATAAACTGTTTCCTACCAGGCCAGTTACATTTAATCAGGCCCACTAAGTGTTTTGTTTACATCTAAATTATCCATGGTCACAAACAGTTTTACTATGTTTTTTAAGCAAAACCTTTTTTGTTGCAGGTATGGGGGAAGGTTAAATCCAGTTTTTAACATCTAGGTTACATATGATGCTTTATTTTTAAAAACTCTTCCGGAATTTGTACTCATATTTATAGATCAAAATGGAAGAATCTGAAATGTTATTAACTGAAAATGACTGATTTATTTTTTCTTTATTTTAAGGGAGCTGGGAGAGGGGGATAAAGCATAGATAAGAATCTGTTAATTAATAGCTTGCAAAGAGTAAATAAAATGCTGATATAATTTTATCTGGGAAGAATTGTAATGTGATGAAACTGTAGAAGACAAGGTCCTTAAAAGGGAAGGACTATTTGTCTTTTTACCCCCAGCATCAAGGCACATGCCTTGCTTCAGGCTTGCTGAACTGAAAATCCTGCTTCCTCCGCAAAACACCTTAAATGACTCCTACTGTCTGGACTCAGTGATTCAGTGTTTCAACATCCAATTGTATTAGGCTCTCTCATAATACTCACATTCATTTGGTCTAGTCCCATATGATGCATTCACTGAAATGCTCCTTCCCTGAACCACTCCTTTTATGGACCATGAATGTAGCTTCTCGATGTTTTACAAAATTCCGACCCAGTAGGCTTTTCTCTGACTACTTATCATTTGTCATCTTTGCCTCCTAAAAAACCCTAGGACCAGCTTCCATGGGTAGTTTTCTATCTCTCCCACCCTTCCACAGGAAATAGAAAATAGAAAGGGCAACAAACTACTTGTGGTACCATAGCAACCAGGGTTCAAAGCAATATTTTGCAGAAGTTCATGATTAGTTCAAAGAGCATTCTGTGCACAATTGGTTAGCTAACAACTAACCCAGACGCTATCAGTTAGCTCCAAGCCTCTTTTTGGAAGGTGTTTGCCACACTTTATAAGTCCTTATTATCATTCAATGCCAACAGACTTTTCTTTATTCCTGGGGATCTCTGGCACAATAATTAAATGGTTAATGAATTTCTTCTAATGGGTGTGAGTTCCCCCCCCCCAGATGGTACAATATTCCTTCTGAGAAGAGAAAAAAGAACTTTCCTCCCTTTTCTTTCTAGAGTTTCCTCTCTAAGGAGACTCTCAGGAGAGTCACAAACCAACAGCTGTTGCGTGAATCGTGTCTGTAGCTGTCAGCAGTGATGAGCCAAGATTGCTACTGAAGGGAGGAGCTGGTCCGTGACAACAACTACATCAAAAGAAGAATTCTCTGACTCTCTCTGGCTAAGAGGGTACTGTGTTTACTGTGTGCTTCTTTTTTTTTTCAAGAGGTGACTACCTTCTCCTTTCCTGTATGGCTGAGTCAATCATTGGTTGTTTTGTCTTGAATGTTTAATGATTCATTTCATTAGATAATTCATTAAATCAGATTTGCTCCTTGATACCTGGCAGACAACCCACCTTTTTCATCACCATTAGCAACAACAGCCTCTCAATTGTCACCAATAGGTAGGTGGTCGTGGGGACCTTGGGAATGGCAGTGCCCCTCAGGCCACTTGTACCACTTCTAATCCTGCTCTCAAACCCATTATCTGGGGAGGTAACTCTTGGGGTTCAGCCATCTCCACCAACTGTAAACAAACTACCACATGCAGAGCAGGCCAGTGGTAGGGTGCCCTGAGAGAGAGAGAGACAAGAGGCAGCATCTGCCACCCATGTCAAACCACTACCACCACCAAAACCAGCCTGAGCACCTTCTCCCCTTGAACCCTGATGGAGACAGCCCAGGAACATGAACCCAAGAGCCTAGGGAATAGCAGTTCTTCCAGCCCAGTATCCTCAGCCATAATCTTGGAAAACAACCCCTGTAGAGATTTAGCCTGGCCACTGCTCCAGTAAGGGCTATAGCCACAGCTACAAAAGACCTAGAAAGGAAAGTTCTTGCCACCTAAGTCCTTGGCATTGTCAGACAGTTCTACATCAGAAACTAATATAATTTTATAAGTAGAAATTGCATTAAAGAAGAAATATTAACATCTGATTTGCTGCAGTACCTTAAAAACCACAGGACTTTTCCATCTATCTGCCTTGCATATGTATTATCTCTCCCATTAGAATGTGAGCTCCCCACACTTAACACAGTGCTTTACACATAGAGAGCACTTAATAAATACTTAATAAATACTTTATCCCTTCATTTAATTTTTATTATGTTCCTATTCTCTGACACTGAAGTTTTTCCTAAGCTTTGATTAAACTGATTTTTACTCCAACTCAAACACAAGAAGCCCTTCTTTTTGATCAGGTGATCAAAAGTTAAAATCTACTCCTTGACACTAGAGGACCAACTACCAATCCAGGGGTAAATGTCTTCTGAGTAGCGAGGCAGCAATCTTTTTAGAGGATAGGTAGAAATTGGGGGGAGAAGGGAAGTGGCCACTGATAGATAATGTGCTAAAACTTAAATTACCAGCATCAAGATAATATTGTTTGCAACACTTTATTTTCATTCTGATGCAAGAAAAAAAAAAATCATCACCTGGTGGCCCCTCCTCTGGTGATTAGCCTCTCCAACCTTAGCTAGTCTGGTCCTCAGAGGACACATATCCTGCCTGTCACTGGCCCATATTCAGAGCCTTTGAGTTTAGTAAGAACTGATGGAGCAAGTCCTTCATTGAGATAGTCATCATCTTTGCAACCCCAGAATGCCGCAGCACTTTATTCATATTAACCCACATTCCTCTACTTCTAAACACAAATACTTGAACAAATCAAATGGGTTAATAGATATGTAATTTATAAATTCTCTTATTCCTTTTTACTATGAGAAGACAAACAGTAGAGTGCTAAATTTGTCTAAGAAAAAGCATTAGTTCAAAGTTGTCTGCATAAGTATTAGTGGATTTTGGATTTGCGCAAAAAAAAAAGATAATCAATTTTAGCATTTTAGGGACACCGGTAGAGTATTAACTTCCTAAAGTACATTCTTACACAAAGAAGTTTCCTCCAGGTTTGAAGAGGGCAGGTTAACACTACTTTTAGAAGGAAGCCCACATGGAACTCACCAGTGCTATGACTGACTGTGTGAACAAATACTCCAGTCCTTTGAATACATTATGAGGTTGAGTTAGAGGGTTTTCTAGGATCATTTCAGGGGTAGCTTTAGCGTTACCTTGGGGTAGAGGTAATAAGGAATTAGTGATTCACTAATAAGAGTGATTCTCAGCAGCACCAGGAAACCACTGAGGCAAGGATCTCAGAATGGCTTTGAGTAACTTCAGTAACAAAGGCAGCTGAGGGGTTATGTCATTTAAAAGAGACCAGACTAATCGGTGACATATTGTTTCACTGATTCTACGGGACCTGGGTTAGAGCAGTAAATGTGTGTTGACCGTATGAAAATCTCTATTTATAAGGCACAGCCTCCCTGGTATAGCAGGAATCAGGTTTCAGACAGCAGGGATGCTGCCTAGATCACATCCTTCCTGCCTTCCTGAACTCTTTTTTTTGTTTTGTTTTTTAGGCAATTGGGGTTAAGTGACTTGCCCAGGGTCACACAGCTAGTAAGTGTCAAGTGTTTGGTCTGAGGCCAGATTTGAACTCAGGTCCTCCTGACTTCAGGGCCGGTGCTCTATCCACTGCGCCACCTAGGTGCCCCCTTCCTGAACTCTTAAAGGTGCTCTCAGAGTGTGGACAGAATTAGGTTTGGCCATTCTGACCCCACTGGATTCTCTGCTCAAGGCAATGAATAACTCATTCACCTTCATGACTGCTCTAAATTTCTCAATGACATTTTTTGAAAAAAATCATGGACATGGACATGTTTTCTATAAAGGGATGTGTAATGATGGAAGACAACATAACTGGGAAAGCAAGCCGACCAAAGGAAATGCAACACATACATTTAAAAAGTACCACTGAAAAAACTAAGCTATCCAATAAGCCCAGTGATACACCAAGCACTCACTGCACACAGATGTTTTATACATAGGTCCCTCGGGTAAATCAGGAATCAGGTATCTGGAAACAGGTAAACAATTAGACTCAATTGATTAAGAACTCATCTTAAGGACTCAACTTTTGCTTGTTTAAAGATGTGCATTGGAGCACTTCTCACAGCACCTTGCTATTCTGCACGCACCGGACAGCATACACCAGGTCCCTGAAGACATTCCCTTCCATCTTGGCACGGCCTCGAGAGCAGACAAAGACGCCCCCCTTCCCGTCTCTGAAAAGGCACTTCCTAATGAGGCAGCCCTGCAAGGAACTGGCGAGGGACTGAGCCTCGCCGTCTCTCTGAAGCTCCTGGTGCAGGGTTTTCAATTCCAGGCCTCTCTGGAGGTCGGACAATCGAGCGGTCTGCGGCCGGCCAAGCAGAGACCTGACCAGTGTGTGGTTCAGCCCGGGCGGCTGGTGGTAGTGTCTGTACACAAACTGGTCTTCAGGTTCATTTTCGCTGCCAGAGCTCTGGCTGCCATCATAGGAGTCCGGATCGTGGACAATCCCCTTCCTGTCCCTGGCAGGGCAGAGGTCCTTGCTAATTTCATTCTCCTTCTGAAAGTCTTTCTCGCATGCTTGTGGGGATTTCAAGGTTGCAAAGAAGTTGCTCTGGTCTTCACCTATGACTATCTCACAGGTCCTTAAGTTCCCTGGGGGCAGATGCCCTGAGGTTTCTTGGCTTGATGGGTTAAAAGGTGCTGAGTCTCGGGTAGTTGATAAAGCAGAAGAGGACTTGACCAGGCCCATCAGATGCTTATAGGCCCAGTTCCTGTCTGATGATGGATGCCCTTCCACAGTCACAGAGGCAATTTCACTCCCAACAAACTCACAATTTTCAAGGACACAAAGGGCTACGCTGTGAAGGCTGATGCTGGCTTGATTAAAGGTGCAAAATTTAACTTGGCAGGTTCCGGGAGCATGAATCTGCAACTGCCCATTCTCGAAGTTGCAGTTATCAAATTGGACATGACCCGAAGATACCTAAAAAAGGAAAATAAGAAAATGAAATCACAAAGCAACGAGGGATTTCCCTGCCTTATTTCTGATCTCCTTTTTCCTTTATAAAGGATTTTTTTCCTTCAAATAACGAATGAATTATGTACTTCTTAGCAACTAATGAAGCTCTGTACCTGATCCACTTCTCACACCCATAAAAATTGTACTTCAGTATGACCTTCCTGGTCCCACTTACATACTGCTAAGTACCAACTAGCCAAAGAGAAAAATTTTAAACTAAATGTATGTGTCTGCCTTTCTCACCACATCCTCCTACCTTGACCAAATTCCAATGGGCACAAACAACACCTCCAAGTACAGGACAGATGCAATATATCTTTAGCCCTTTCCATACAACTAGGAGTCCTTGCAGTGGTTTTGGAGCTGGGGGATGGAATGATTCAGAGAAGCAATCGTGGTGACGGTAAGGGGGCTCTAACAAACGTATTCCAGATTGCCAGTCTGAACACAGTGACGCCAAGAGACTTCTTGTTTTGGTAAGCATCATGGAATTCATATCTTAGAGCTGGTCAGGCTTATAAACTCAAAAGAATCCTATCAGGGAAGAGTGAGAGTGGGAGTATAGTTCCCCGGTACCCAAGAGGAGCATCTTGAACTCCTTGGGCAGGGTACTTTGGAGGGGATGTGGGAATAGGAACAGAATCTTTCCATTTTACAGAACCCAGCTCAAGTTAACTCCCATTATAGTGAGGTCACTCAAAGCCTTGTGGATCTGGTTTTAATAACAGCAACAACAATAACAGCTGACGCAGATATTGGTTCAAGAATTACAGAGCTCTACATCTTTGACTAAGCTTGAGATTGCCAAAAACTGCTTCAAGGATTGAGCGTTCAGATTTGGGGAGACTCTCACAGCAGAGCACGGTCATGGGCACCCGCCAGAAACCTTCATTGTCTATGAATTGACCATTCTTGCCATAGCAGAGCCTTGAGCAAAAACATTAAACTTTTGCTGGTATCTAAACCTGACTGAGAAGCAAAATAAGATGAGAACTGAGTGCTTTATCTTTTAAATGAATTTTTAAATTTTATATTAACCTGGTTGAGATATTTGAATCATGAGATCATAGACCTGATTGAGGTCTCAAGAGGTCACTTGATTTAGGGAGGTCCATAAAATAGGCGTGCTATTGTTTAAAATTCTTCAAGGGTGATTAGAAGCCCTGTTGATGTGTTCTAGTATTTAATCATCTTTGTTGTCATTAAATTCCTCTAGGGCCAACCCAAATTTTCATTGCCATCTTTTAAGTCCATTTCCTATTGTTGAACCCTCTGTGTAAATAAATAACCTCTCTGGAGGATAAGTGAAACCTTCATATATATTGGAAAAGAGTTATTATTACCCCTTGCTAACTTCTTTTTTAAGAAAAAAATGTCAATTACCTCATACTTTGTAGGGAAAAAACTCAACATTTGCCTCCAGGTCTTTGTGCCAGCTTTAGGAGGGTTTAGTGGTCCAACTGAAACAGATTAGGGACACAAATTTTCTTCTTCCCAGATTAGTCAGATATATATTACATGATTTAGGAAAAATCATTTCGTTTCTCTGAATGTTTCTCTCAAAGATAAAAGAATTGTTGACACCTAACTGATCTAGAAACCCTTTTAATCACAATTTTCAATTTCCTTCTTTTCCTATCTTTTTACTTTATTTATTTATTTATTTTTTGGTAAGACAATCAGGATTAAGTAATTTGCTCAGGGTCACACAGCTAGTGAGGGTCAAGTGATTCCAAGGCCAGAGCTCTATCTGCTGCGCCACCTAGCTGCCATAACAATTTTTTTCTTTGCTTTTTGGTGAGGCAATTGGGGTTAAGTGACTTACCCATGGTCACATAGCTAGTAAGTGTCAACTTTTCCTGTCCTTTTAAAGATTAAAATTTGCCCAAAGAGAGACCACTCTGGATTTCTCTACCCTTCTTTCCCTCCTGATTGAAATAGATGGGACAAAAATAGATAGTGAAAAAGCCAGAGGACAAAATGTAATGGATGGGAAAAGAAAGAAGGGATGTGTACATTCCATACATTACCATAATAATATTTATATAATGCTTTAAGGTTTGCAAAGTGCATTACAAATATTATCTCATTTGATCCTCACAACCTTGAGAGGCCGGTGCTATTAAAATCCTCATTTTACAGGTGAGGAAAGTGAGGCAGAGGTTAAGTGACTTGCCCAGGGTCACACAGCTAATAAGTGAGGCTGGATTTGAAATCAGGTCTTCCTGACTCAGACCTAGCTCTCTATCCGCTGTACCACCTAGATGCCTCTAACCATAGATAAGAAAGAAAAAGCACGGCACGTGGCTAGAGCTGAAGATTAAGATTAGAAAGATGAATATCTGGGCTTGTACGATCTCAGTCTGGATCCACACCTACCTTGTACATGACAGGACTGAACCACACTGGCATGAAGACAAGGTTGCACAGCCGTGTTGTGGCACAGTGCTGATCCACACAAACCAGCAGCGCCACATCTCCAAGCTTCCCGTGGCCCATGATCTCCACAGGCACATTCAGGATAATTTCGCCCTGCTCCTCATAGATGCCTGGGAACAGCACAATCTTATCATAAATGTTGGCTGAGGTCAAGGCACTGCCAAGGTTGTCAAACTCACAACCGGGCCCAACATAGAGAATCCGCCGGTCCTTTCTCCTTCGGAAGAGGTAAAAACAGTTAGAAGACTCCAATTCCTGGGCATTTTTGGTCCACGTCTTAGCAGCCAAGTAGTGTTGTTTGAAGGCTTCTCTCCAAGACCGAGGCTCCACATCAGGTTGGTTGGGCCAGTTGGGGTGCCGGCACTCGATGCACCTCAGGCACAGCTGGCGCCACCTGGTGCTGTCCAGGCTGAGAATGAGTTCATTCCAGGCTTTGCACACTAGGCTACAGCGGCCAAGGTCAGGAAGTCGCATGTAGGCTAAGATCAGGCGCCACAGCTCCAGTGGAAGGCCACTCACCTCCATAGTCACCTGGGAGATAGGGAGCACATACAAAGGTTAAACATAAAACAAGACCATCAATTTTTAGGTCAAGAGTTCATTTTTCCTTTTAACTTTATTTGAGGTCTATTTGACCTAAGAATACAAAGAAAGCCCAAATTCCATTCTCAATTTATATAACTTAGAGGAAGTATAATAATAATTATTATTATTCCTATTAACATTTATAACATACTAGGCTCTGTGCTAAGCATTTTACAGACATCACCTCGTCTGATCCTCACAACAACCCTGAAAGCAGGTGCTATTCTTATCTCCATTTTACAGATGAATAAAATGAGACAGTAATTTAAGTGACTTTCTGAGGATCACACAGCTAGTGTCTGATACTGAATTTGAACTCAGGTCTTCCTACTCCAGGCCCAGTGCTCTATCCACTATGCCAACCAGCTGCCTGGGTCAGCTCCTGGGTCTCCTCTGACATCAGGGCCACAATTATCTCGAGAAACTATGTCCAGAAAGTTCTACGGTATGTTCAGGTAAAAGGAGCTGCCTAAATAAAAATCATCTTTATTCAGAATAATTACTATTATTTATTTAATTTGTATTTTCTTACAATTGTCCACAATAATTTTTTCCATGTGCTCTATTCCTCTTTCAACAAAGACAAATTGCATTGGGGTTCCCTTTCCAAAAGGCCTGATTGAATTGTTTCTCCCAAACATCAAATATTCAGATTCTGGATTCAATCCTGGATTCCCAAGCAATAGTGACCACCATAAAATTGCCAGTTCCCTTAACACAAATAATCTGAGATCATCTCTTGGGGACATGTCTATCTTTCATCAATCCCAATCTCTTCCCTCTGCCAGACAAAGAAATGTGCTGGTGGGAACACAATTTTAAAAGCATGGTGTGTGTGTGTGTGTGTGTGTGTGTGTGTGCGTGTTTTCAAGATATCTAAAAATGGGGAAAGTACCAAATGAATCATGGATCATATAACTGCCCCCCAAAAGCTGATTGAGATCAATAACTAATGATCTAAGTATCTACTTTCTTAATTCTGTAATGCCTTTATGAGATTTATATACATTCTATCAAAAGTATCCTTCATGAAATATGAAAAGGAAATTGTTGGGATTTTTTACAAATTATTTTCTTCTTATCTATCCCATTTCTCCTGAACTCTAATACCATACCATCAACTACTTATTGGACATCTTCAACCGCACATTCCAAAGGTATCTCAAACTCAATATGTCCAAAACATAGCTCATTATTTCCTTCTTCCTGTCCCCATCACCAAACCTTCCCATCTTCCTCACTTTCCTATTTTTGTGAAGGGTTCTACTAACCTTTGATCACCCAGGTTCACAATCTCAGTCATCCTTGACACTTTCCTCTCATACATCCATTCAGTTGCTGGTTCTTTTTTATTCTACCTCCACCATACTTCTCACATCTGTCCCCTTCTCTCAACTTAGACAACTACTACCCTGGCTCAGGCCTTCATTCCTTTGCCTCAATTATTGCAATAGCCTTTGAATGTATCTCCTTGCATCCAGTCACCCCCTTCCCCAAGCCACACAGTTGTCAGATTGTCATTCCTAAAGTGACAGCACCACTCTCCAGGGCTGCTTCTTGCCCCTAGGATAAAAGGCAAAGTCATCGGCCTTTCATATTCTTGTTCCAGACTATCTGTCTAGTCTTATTTCATATTGTATTGAATAAATGAAAAAGCATTTGTTAATCAATGGTTATGTGCCACACACCAGGGATAAAATCAAAACAGATCCTGTCTTCAAAATGTTTACATTATAATAGAGGGAACATATATAGGGAACAGTGGCCAATTGGGAAATCAAAGAGATGAAGAGAGGAGCAGCAGGGGAGATGATTGACCTACCCTTTCCAGCAGCAATGACAGTATTAATTTAGGATCATAGCATCATAAATTTAGAGGTGAAAGGGATGTTGCCAGTCATCTAGTCTAATCTTCTCATTTTACAGTTGAGGAAATGGAGGCTTAGAGAGAGTAAAAAGTAAATCAGGTGTAATTAGCTGGTACTGGATTAAAAAAACCTCAGATTCTAAACCCAGCACTCTGCCCCCTGGGAACCTAGGCTCTGACAGGTCAACTTTAGCCTTACCTTGCCCAAATCTCCAGACTTTTCCAAAGCACCAAAAGTGGCCACTTATCCCCTTTTCTCCTGCTTCTGGTTCCCATGTTTTGCTTACCTGCATTTGTATCCCCAGCACTTAACATAATAAATGCTTTATCAAGATAAGCATCAAGCTTTACCATTCAAAATAGGAGAGGGAAGAGAAGTAGATGGCAAGAAGATGGTCCAAGTAGACCCCTGGGAAGAAAAGTATGGTCTGGGGCCACGTGACATAGTCACCAATCTGGATAGTATGGGAAACCAAGTCAGGAAACCTACAAATGACAAGGTCAAGTCCTCCAGGGTATAGTCTCTGAAGATCTGGAGGGTGCACAGGGCAGAGGTGGCTGTCATATTGCTGGAGTGAAATGTTTCTGCCAAACTGCTCTATTTACCATCCCTTGTATGCCATATTCTTTCTCTCATCTCCTTGCATTGCACAGGCTATCTCCCATGCTTAGAATGCACATCCTCCTCACCTCTGTCCCTTACAATCTCTGGCTTCCTTCAAACCTCAGCTCAAGTGAAAACTCCTGCAGGAAGCCTGCCGTGATTCTCTCCTCCCATGCTGTCGGTGCCCTCCTTAAAGAAATTACTTGATGTATTTCTTTTGTTTTTGATTTTCTGTGTAGTGTGTGTGTGTGTGTGTGTGTGTGTGTGTGTGTGTGTGTGTGTATGATTTCCCCTCAATGGAGTGTAAACTACTTGAGTACAGGGACTGTTTTATGTTTGTCTTTGTAACCTCAGAACTTAGTTCAGTACCTGGCATATACTAATTGTTTGGTAAATGTTGAATATTTCATAGCAGATCATATTCTCCCCATAACACAATTTTCTGAAAGATGCAAAGAATATAAGATCTCCCTGAGCTTAGTGGTTTTTTTTTTAAAGGCATCTGACTTCCACAGTTTGATGGATCTATGGTGTCACTGAAGTGGTTATTTCTTCTAATGGTATAGACCACAATACATCCATATCTTCAAGTGTGACTACTCCTGTTCATGTCCTCTCATATATTCCCCATAGGGGATCTACCCAATGTACCAGAAGTCTTCCTTTAAATCTCTGAGCAAAATGCAACTTTAAAGTTTCTTCTCCAACAAAATGTCTCTGGTGCATATGTAACAATTACACAAGACTGCTTGGTGGATTAAATCCTAGCAATGACTTTGTTCAATAATCTTCTTATTATAAATATCAAGCATTGCATAAAAGAGGGAGATGTCTGTTCAAAGTTGACCACTACTGTCATGGAGTGTGTCCAAAACAGAGTCCAAATGAAAGAGTCATTCTCATTAGAAGATAAAGTCTTCTAGATACCCTTGCTTGGGGATGACAGTGTGCTATTGAATTAAGCTTCAGAATACTACTGAGCACCCTCAATAAGATTCATGGCCATTTATAAGAGATAAGATGGACAAATCACATAAAAAACAATGGATGAAGAATGTCTATTTTTCAGGCTATGAAAAATAGTACGATGAATACCCATTAAGTTAGCATATTAGTACATGTTTTTGATATGTATTATAGATATATAATAAGATGGACTTAGGAACATTTGGGAAATTGATTGATGATTTCAATGATTCAAAGCTGCTCTATGTCACATACATAGAAAATGTTTTAATACCAGTGATATTCTTCTGATGAAAATACATTGCTATAAACAATAAAACATAATTATTTTCAAAGAATAAAAACTGCAAGTGATCTAAAGGACAATGAAGTAATGTATAGTGGACATAAGTAGGCCATGGCATATTACCAATGATGATTGTGTGCAAAAAAAAAAATCCGAGAAAAATATAATCGAGAAAATGTGTGATCAGAAAAGTAGGTGGCTTGGTCATATAGAGAAAGTGAGGAATAAAAAGATGGACAGTCTAAATGGTAAAAGGGCCCCATCATGGCTAATCCCCTATAAAGGATTTATGGAAGAATATAGACAAGAATAACAAATGATAAAAAGATGTGATTGGGTTGTAAGTTATACAGAGAGAGAATCCATGTGGATGAGATCATAGATCCATTCAGTAATAAAGTAAGCAATCCTTTGGGATTAGGGAAAATATAAAATCTGGAACATATTAGTTACACTGAGCTGAATGAAAAAATGGCTCTCACACCCAAAAATGAGAATGGGTTGCTATAAAATACAGCTAAAGTTTGCTAATTTTGACTACCTAGAGGGTCAGCCAGTCTCCACTGCTGTAAATTCTGAATTATTAAATATTTTTATGAAAATACAGTTATAGGATAGTATGATCATAGATTTAGAGTTGGAAAGGACCCCAGTTCAATATACCCATTTTATAGATGAGAAAACTGAGGTCCAAAAGTGAAGTGATTTACCCGATGCCATGCAGGTAATAAGTGGCAAAACCAGGCTTTCAATTCAGATCGTCTGACTCTAAACCCAGATATCTTTCACTACACCACAATAAAGAAAAGTTCAGGAGAATATAGTGGAAAGGGAGGGCAGAGGTGTCTAGTGACTAGGGGAAGGTTCCAGCTGAATTCACTACATGTAAGAGGAAAGGGAAGGTGATGGCAGCAGCAATGGCCTTAGGAACTAGTAATGAACTTCCTTTCTACTTATCCTCTCTCAAGTTGATCTCAGGTTGATCAAGCAAGCAACAAAAATTTCTTAAGCACCTAAGTCATTTAGGCATTGTGCTAGGCACTAAGGAAACAAATGCCAAAGTGAGAGAGTAGTTCTCCTCAGGGTATTTATAGTCTGCAGCAGCTCTCCAAGTGTGGTCCATGGATGAGTCCCTGAGACCCTTTCAGGGGTCTGATAGGTCAAAACTATTTTCATAAAAACATTAAGGTGTTATTTCTCTATCAAAATAGTCTTCCCTTTTC